CAGGGCCTGGCGAGTGCACAATTGGAAGAACAAGGGCCTAGCGTGTGCAAAATTGGAAGAACAAGTGCCTATCGTGTGCAATAGTGCAAGAACAAGGGCCTAGCGTGTGCAAAATTTCAAGAACAAGGGCCTAGAGTGTGCAAAATTGCAAGAACAAGGGCCTAGCGAGTGCAAAATTGGAAGAACAAGTGCCTAGCGTGTGCAAAATTGCAAGAACAAGGGCCTAGTGGTGCAACGTTTCAAGAACAAGGGCCTAGCGAGTGCAGAATTGGGAGAACAAGGGCCTAGTGTGTGCAAAATAGCAAGGACAAGGGCCTAGCGTGTGCAAAATTTCAAGAGCAAGGGACTAGCATGTGCAAAATTGCAAGAACAAGGGCCTAGCGCGTGCAAAGTTGCAAGAACAAAGGCCTAGTGAGTGCAAAATTCGAACAACAAGGCCTAGCGTGTGCACAATTGCAAGAACAAGGGCCTAGCGAGTGCAAAATTGGAAGAACAAGGGCCTAGCGTGTGCAAAATAGCAAGAACAAGGGCCTAGCGTGTGCAAAATTTCAAGAACAAGGGCCTAGCGAGTGCAAAATTTCAAGAACAAGTGCCTAGCGTGTGCAAAATTGCAAGAACAAGGGCCTAGCGTGTGCAATACTGCAAGAACAAGGACCTAGCGATTGCAAAATTGGAAGAAAAAAGGGCCTAGCGTGTGCAAAATTGCAAGAACAAGGGCCTAGTATGTGCAAAATTTCAAGAACAAGGGCCTAGCGAGTGCAAAATTGGAAGAACAAGTGCCTAGCGTGTGCAAAATTGCAAGAACAAGAGCCTAGCGTGTGCAAAATTGCAAGAACAAGGGCCTAGCGTTTGCACAATTTCAAGAACAAGGGCCTAGCGAGTGCAAAATTGCAAGAACAAGGGCCTAGCGAGTGCAAAATTGGAAGAACAAGTGCCTAGCGTGTGCAAAATTGCAAGAACAAGGGCCTAGCGTGTGCAAAATTGCAAGAACAAGGGCCTAGCGTTTGCACAATTTCAAGAACAAGGGCCTAGCGAGTGCAAAATTGCAAGAACAAGGGCCTAGCGAGTGCAAAATTGGAAGAACAAGTGCCTAGCGTGTGCCAAATTGCAAGAACAAGGGCCTAGCGTGTGCAACATTTCAATAACAAGGGCCTAGCGTGTGCAAAATAGCAAGGACAAGGGCCTAGCATGTGCAAAACTTCAAGAACAAGGGCCTAGCGAGTACAAAATTTCAAGAGCAAGGGCCTAGCATGTGCAAAATTGCAAGAACAAGGGCCAAACGCCTGCAAAATTGCGAGAACAAGGGCCTAGTGAGTGCAAAATTCGAAGAACAAGGGCCTAGCGTGTGCACAATTGCAAGAACAAGGGCCTAGCGAGTGCAAAATTGGAAGAACAAGGGCCTAGCGTGTGCAAAATAGCAAGAACAAGGGCCTAGCATGTGCAAAATTTCAAGAACAAGGGCCTAGCGTGTGCAAAATTGCAAGAACAAGGGCCTAGCGTGTGCAAAATTGCAAGAACAAGGGCCTAGCGTGTGCAAAATTTCAAGAACAAGGGCCTAGCGAGTGCAAAATTGCAAGAACAAGGGCCTAGCGTGTGCAAAATTGGAAGAACAAGGGCCTAGCGTGTGCAAAATTGCAAGAACAAGGGCCTAGCGTGTGCAAAATTTCAAGAACAAGGGCCTAGCGTGTGCAAAATTGCAAGAACAGGGGCCTAGCGAGTGCAAAATTTGAAGAACAAGGGCCTAGCGTGTGCAAAATTGCAAGAACAGGGGCCTAGCGAGTGCAAAATTGGAAGAACAAGGGCCTAGCGTGTGCAAAATTGCAAGAACAAGGGCCTAGCGTGTGCAAAATTTCAAGAACAAGGGCCTAGCGAGTGCAAAATTGGAAGAACAAGTGCCTAGCGTGTGCAAAAGTGCAAGAACAAGGGCCTAGCGTGTGCAAAATTTCAAGAACAAGGGCCTAGCGTGTGCAAAATTGCAAGAACAAGGGCCTAGCGTGTGCAAAATTGCAAGAACAAGGGCCTAGCGAGTGCAAAATTGGAAGAACAAGGGCCTAGCGTGTGCAAAATTGCAAGAACAAGGGCCTAGCGCGTGCAAAATTTCAAGAACAAGGGCCTAGCGAGTGCAAAATTGGAAGAACAAGGACCTACCGAGTGCAACATTTCAAGAACAAGGGCATAGCATGTGCAAAACTGGAAGAACAAGGGCCTAGCATGTGCAAAATAGCAAGAACAAGGGCCTAGCATGTGCAAAATTTCAAGAACAAGGGCCTAGCGTGTGCAAAATAGCAAGAACAAGGGCCTAGCGAGTGCAAAATTGCATGAACAAGGGCCTAGCGTGTGCAATATTGCAAGAACAAGGGCCAAGCAAGTGCAAAATTTCAATAACAAGGGCCTAGCGAGTGCAAAATTGGAAGAACACGGGCCTAGCGTATTCAAAATAGCAAGAACAAAGGCCTAGCGTGTGCAAAAGTTCAAGAACAAGGGCCTAGCGTATGCAAAATTTCAAGAACAAGGGCCTAGCGTGTGCAAAATTGCAAGAACAAGGGCCTAGCGTGTGCAAAATTTCAAGAACAATGGCATAGCGAGTGCACAATTGGAAGAACAAGGGCCTAGCGTGTGCAAAATTGCAATAACAAGGGCCTAGGGAGTGCAAAATTGGAAGAACAAGGGCCTAGTGTGTGCAAAATTGCAAGAACAAGGGCCTAGTGTGTGCAAAATTGCAAGAACAGGGACCTAGCGAGTGCAAAATTGGAAGAAAAAAGGGCCTAGCGTGTGCAAAATTGCAAGAACAAGGGCCTAGTGTGTGCAAAATTTCAAGAACAAGGGCCTAGCGAGTGCAAAATTGGAAGAACAAGTGCCTAGCGTGTGCAAAATTGCAAGAACAAGGGCCAAGCGTGTGCAAAATTGCAAGAACAAGGGCCTAGCGTTTGCACAATTTCAAGAACAAGGGCCTAGCGAATGCAAAATTGCAAGAACAAGGGCCTAGCGAGTGCAAAATTGGAAGAACAAGTGCCTAGCGTGTGCCAAATTGCAAGAACAAGGGCCTAGCGTGTGCAACATTTCAATAACAAGGGCCTAGCGTGTGCAAAATAGCAAGGACAAGGGCCTAGCGTGTGCAAAACTTCAAGAACAAGGGCCTAGCGAGTACAAAATTTCATGAGCAAGAGCCTAGCATGTGCAAAATTGCAAGAACAAGGGCCAAGCGCCTGCAAAATTGCAAGAACAAGGGCCTAGTGAGTGCAAAATTAGAAGAACAAGGGCCTAGCGTGTGCACAATTACAAGAACAAGGGCCTAGCGAGTGCAAAATTGGAAGAACAAGGGCCAAGCGTGTGCAAAATAACAAGAACAAGGGCCTAGCGTGTGCAAAATTTCAAGAACAAGGGCCTAGCGAGTGCAAAATTTCAAGAACAAGGGCCTAGCGTGTGCAAAATTGCAAGAACAAGGGCCTAGCGTGTGCAAAATTGCAAGAACAGGGGCCTAGCGAGTGCAAAATTGGAAGAACAAGGGCCTAGCGTGTGCAAAATTGCAAGAACAAGGGCCTAGCGTGTGCAAAATTTCATGAACAAGGGCCTTGCGAGTGCAAAATTGGAAGAACAAGTGCCTAGCGTGTGCAAAAGTGCAAGAACAAGGGCCTAGCGTGTGCAAAATTTCAAGAACAAGGGCCTAGCGTGTGCAAAATTGCAAGAACAAGGGCCTAGCGTGTGCAAAATTGCAAGAACAAGGGCCTAGCGAGTGCAAAATTGGAAGAACAAGGGCCTAGCGTGTGCGAAATTGCAAGAACAAGGGCCTAGCGCGTGCAAAATTTCAAGAACAAGGGCCTAGCGAGTGCAAAATTGGAAGAACAAGGACCTACCGAGTGCAACATTTCAAGAACAAGGGCATAGCATGTGCAAAACAGGAAGAACAAGGGCCTAGCATGTGCAAAATAGCAAGAACAAGGGCCTAGCATGTGCAAAATTTCAAGAACAAGGGCCTAGCGTGTGCAAAATAGCAAGAACAAGGGCCTAGCGAGTGCAAAATTGCATGAACAAGGGCCTAGCGTGTGCAATATTGCAAGAACAAGGGCCAAGCAAGTGCAAAATTTCAAGAACAAGGGCCAAGCATGTGCAAAATTTCAAGAACAAGGGCCTAGTGAGTGCAAAATTGGAAGAGTACGGGCCTAGCGTTTTCAAAATAGCAAGAACAAGGGCCTAGCGTGTGCAAAATTTCAAGAACAAGGGCCTAGCGTGTGCAAAATTTCAAGAACAAGGGCCTAGCGTGTGCAAAATTGCAAGAACAAGGGCCTAGCGTGTGCAAAATTTCAAGAACAATGGCATAGCGAGTGCAAAATTGGAAGAACAAGGGCCTAGCATGTGCAAAATTGCAATAACAAGGGCCTAGGGAGTGCAAACGTGGAAGAACAAGGGCCTAGTGTGTGCAAAATTGCAAGAACAAGGGCCTAGCATGTGCAAAGTTGCAAGAACAAGGGCCTAGCAAGTGCAAAATTGGAAGAACAAGTGCCTAGCGTGTGCAAAAGTGCAAGAACAAGGGCCTAGTGTGTGCAAAATTTCAAGAACAAGGGCATAGCGTGTGCAAAACTGGAAGAACAAGGGCCTAGCATGTGCAAAATTGCAAGAACAAGGGCCTAGCGAGTGCAAAATTGGAAGAACAAGGGCCTAGCGTGTGCAAAATTGCAAAACAAGGGCCTAGCGTGTGCAAAATTGCAAGAACAAGGGCCTAGCGTTTGCACAATTTCAAGAACAAGGGCCTAGCGAATGCAAAATTGCAAGAACAAGGGCCTAGCGAGTGCAAAATTGGAAGAACAAGTGCCTAGCATGTGCCAAATTGCAAGAACAAGGGACTAGCGTGTGCAAAATTGCAAGAATAAGGGCCTAGCGTGTGCAAAATTTCAACCCACCGTGTGTTCAACCCACAGTGTGTTAAACCTACCGTGTGTTCAACCCACCGTGTGTTAAACCCACCGTGTGTTAAACCCACCGTGTGTTCAACCCACCGTGTGTTAAACCTGGACCTGGACCTGGACGTGCACGTGGATGTGGACGTGGTCGTGGACGTGGACGTGGACGTGGTCGTGGACTTGGACGTGGACGTGGACGTGGTCGTGGACTTGGACGTGGACTTGGACGCGGACGTGGACGCGGACGTGGACTTGGACGTGGACGTGGACGCGGACGTGGAGGACTTGGACGTGGACGTGGACGTGGACGTGGACGTGGTCGTGGACGTGGACTTGGACGTGGACGTGGACGTGGTCGTGGTCGTGGACGTGGTCGTGGACGTGGACGTGGACGTCGTCGTGGACGTGGACGTGGATGTGGTCGTGGACGTGGACGTGGACGTGGACCTGGTCGTGGACGTGGACGTGGACGTGGACGTGGACCTGGTCGTGGACGTGGACGTGGACGTGGTCGTGGACGTGGTCGTGGACGTGGTCGTAAACGTGGACGTGGTCATGGACGTGGACGTGGACGTGGACGTGGACTTGGACGTGGACTTGGACTCGGACGTGGACGTGGACGTGGTCGTGGACTTGGACGTGGACGTGGACTTGGACGTGGACGTGGACGTGGACGTGGACTTGGACGTGGTCGTGGACGTGGACGTGGACGTGGACCTGGACGTGGACGTGGAGGTGGACGTGGTCGTGGTCGTGGACGTGGACGTGGACGTGGTCGCGGACGTGGACGTGGACGTGGACCAGGACGTGGATGTGGACGTGGACGTGGACTTGGACGTGGACGTGGTCGTGGTCGTGGACGTGGACATGGACGTGGACTTGGACGTGGACGTGGACGTGGTCGTGGACGTGGACTTGGACGTGGACGTGGACGTGGACTTGGATGTGGACGTGGACGTGGACTTGGACTTGGACGTGGACGTCGACGTGGACGTGGACTTGGACTTGGACGTGGACGTGGACGTGGACGTGGATGTGGACGTGGACTTGGACGTGGACCTTGACGCGGACGTGGTCGTGGACGTGGACGTGGAGGACTTGGACGTGGACGTGGACGTGGACGTGGTCATGGACGTGGACTTGGACGTGGACGTGGACGTGGACGTGGTCGTGGTCGTGGACGTGGTCGTGGACGTGGTCGTGGACGTGGACTTGGACGTGGACGTGGACGTGGACGTGGTCGTGGACTTGGACGTGGACGTGGACTTGGACGTGGACGTGGACGTGGACGTGGTCGTGGACGTGGACTTGGACGTGGACGTGGACGTGGACGTGGTCGTGGTCGTGGACGTGGTCGTGGACGTGGTCGTGGACGTGGACTTGGACGTGGACGTGGACGTGGACGTGGTCGTGGACTTGGACGTGGACGTGGACTTGGACGTGGACGTGGTCGTGGACGTGGACTTGGACGTGGACGTGGACGTGGACGTGGACGTGGACGTGGACGTGGACTTGGACGTTGACGTGGACGTGGACGTGGACGTGGACGTGGTCGTGGTCGTGGACGTGGTCGTGGATGTGGACCTGGACGTGGACGTGGACGTGGACGTGGACGTGGACTTGGAAGTGGACGTGGACGTGGACGTGGACCTGGACGTGGACGTGGACCTGGACGTGGATGTGGAGGTGGACGTGGTCGTGGTCGTGGACGTAGACGTGGACGTGGTCGTGGACGTGGACGTGGACGTGGACCTGGACGTGGACGTGGACTTGGACTTGGACGTGGACGTGGTCGTGGACGTGGTCGTGGACGTGGACGTGGACGTGGACGTGGGTGTGGACGTGGACTTGGACGTGGACGTGGACGTGGACGTGGTCGTGGACGTGGTCGTGGACGTGGACCTGGACGTGGACATGGACGTGGACGTGGATATGGACGTGGACGTGGACGTGGACGTGGACGTGGTCGTGGACATCGTCCACGTCCAGGTCCACGTCCGCATCCACGTCCACGTCCACGACCACGTCTACGTCCACGTCCACGTCCACGACCACGTCCACGTCCACGTCCACGACCACGTCCACATCCGCGTCCACGTCCAGGTCCACGTCCGCGTCCACGTCCACGACCACGTCCACGTCCACGTCCACGTCCACGTCCACGACCACGTCCACGTCCACATCCACGTCCAAGTCCACGTCCACGTCCAATTCCACGACCACGTCCACGTCCACGTCCACGTCCACGTCCACGACCACGTCCACGTCCACGTCCACGTCCACGACCACGTCCACGTCCACGTCCACGTCCACGTCCAAGTCCACGACCACGTCCACGTCCACGTCCACGTCCAAGTCCACGTCCAAGTCCACGTCCACGACCACGTCCACGTCCACGACCACGTCCACGACCACGTCCACGACCACGTCCACGTCCACGTCCACGTCCACGTCCACGACCACGTCCACGACCACGTCCACGTCCACGTCCACGTCCACGACCACGTCCACGTCCACGACCAGGCCCACGTCCACGTCCACGTCCACGACCACGTCCACGTCTACGACCACGTCCACGTCCACGTCAACGACCACGTCCACGACCACGTCCACGACCACGACCACGTCCACGTCCACGTCCACGTCCAAGTCCACTTCCACGACCACGTCCACGTCCACGTCCACGTCCAAGTCCTCCACGTCCACGTCCACGACCACGTCCGCGTCAAGGTCCACGTCCAAGTCCACGTCCACATCCACGTCCACTTCCACGTCCAAGTCCAAGTCCACGTCCACGTCCACGTCCAAGTCCACGTCCACGTCCACGTCCAAGTCCACGTCCACGACCACGTCCACGTCCACGTCCAAGTCCACGTCCATGTCCACGTCCACGACCACGACCACGTCCACGTCCAAGTCCACGTCCACGTCCACGTCCACGTCCTGGTCCACGTCCACGTCCACGTCCGCGACCACGTTCACGTCCACGTCCACGACCACGACCACGTCCACGTCCACGTCCACGTCCACATCCAGGTCCACGTCCACGTCCACGTCCACGTCCACGACCACGTCCAAGTCCACGTCCACGTCCACGTCCACGTCCAAGTCCACGTCCACGTCCAAGTCCACGACCACGTCCACGTCCACGTCCAAGTCCAAGTCCACGTCCAAGTCCACGTCCACGTCCACGTCCACGTCCATGACCACGTCCACGTCCACGACCACGTCCACGTCCACGACCACGTCCACGACCACGTCCACGTCCACGTTCACGACCAGGTCCACGTCCACGTCCACGTCCACGTCCACGACCACGTCCACGTCCACGTCCACGTCCACGACCACGTCCACGTCCACGACCACGTCCACGTCCATGACCACGTCCACGACCACGACCACGTCCACGTCCACGTCCAAGTCCACGTCCACGACCACGTCCACGTCCACGTCCACGTCCACGTCCAAGTCCTCCACGTCCGCGTCCACGTCCACGTCCAAGTCCACGTCCGCGTCCACATCCGCGTCCAAGTCCACGTCCACCTCCACGTCCACGTCCACGTCCACGTCCAAGTCCAAGTCCACGTCCACGTCCACGTCCAAGTCCACGTCCACGTCCAAGTCCACGTCCACGACCACGTCCACGTCCAAGTCCACGTCCATGTCCACGTCCACGACCACGACCACGTCCACGTCCAAGTCCACGTCCACGTCCACGTCCAGGTCCACGTCCACGTCCACGTCCACGACCACGTCCACGTCCACGTCCACGTCCACGTCCACGTCCACGACCACGTCCACGTCCATGACCACGTCCACGTCTACGTACCACGTCCACGTCCACGTCCACGTCCACATCCACGTCCACGTCCACGTCCACGTCCAAGTCCACGTCCACGTCCAAGTCCACGACCACGTCCACGTCCACGTTCACGTCCAAGTCCACGTCCAAGTCCACGACCACGTCCACGTCCACGACCACGTCCACGACCACGTCCACGTCCACGACCACGTCCACGACCACGTCCACGACCACGTCCACGACCACGTCCACGTCCACGTCCACGTCCACGACCAGGTCCACCTCCACGTCCACGTCCACGACCACGTCCACGTCCACGTCCACGTCCACGTCCACGTCCTCGACCACGTCCACGTCCACGACCACGTCCATGTCCACGACCACGTCCACGTCCACGTCCACGTCCACGACCACGTCCATGTCCACGTCCACGACCACGTCCACGTCCACGTCCTCGTCCACGACCACGTCCACGTCCACGTCCACGTCCAAGTCCACGTCCACGTCCACGTCCACAACCACGTCCACGTCCACGACCACGTCCACGTCCACGTCCACGACCACGTCCACGTCCACGTCCACGACCACGTCCACGTCCACGTCCAAGTCCACGTCCACGTCCAAGTCCACGTCCACGACCACGTCCACGTCCACATCCACGTCCACGACCACGTCCACGTCCACGTCCATGACCAAGTCCAAGTCCTCCACGTCCACGTCCACGTCCATGTCCACGTCCACGTCCACGACCACGTGGTGAGTCGTCGCTGAGTCTTCTCCCATAGCTGCTGCATGGTGGTGATGAAGTCATGTGCGGCTTGGACGTGTACCGGTGTGGTTGGCTGCTGTGGTGTGAGTGGTTCCCGTCCGTAACACAGGAAGAAAGGAGTTTTCCATGTGGCCGCATGTGATGCGTTGTTGTAAGCAAACTCTAGGGTCGGTAACTGTGTGTCCCAGTGGCTGACGACATTGCAAGCTTTGTCCCCAACAATCCCATGAGCTCCTTCCAGAACTTACTGGTGAATTTTGGGTCTCTGTCTGAGATGAGTGTAGCGGGGATGCCGTGGATGGTGATGATGCGGTCGAAGAAGAGGCGAGCAGTTGCTTCAGTTGTAGCTGTGGCGTTGGTCGGTATGAAGTGACCCATTTTGGAGAACTTATCGATGACTACGAGGATGGAATCGTGCCCCCGTGAGGTCGAAGGAAGTCCTGTGATAAAGTCGAGGCTAACGACCTGCCATGGCTGCTCTGGTACAGGTAGAGGCTGAAGTACTGCTTTTTTCTGCTTGCTACTCTTCATCCGCTGGCACGTGTCGCATGAGGTGACGAACTGCTGCACGTCTGCTGCCATCTTGGGCCAGTAGTAATACTTCGCTATCCCTGCTAACGCCTTGTTGCTCCCGAAATGTCCCGCGTAAGGTATGTCGTGAAACTCCTCCAATAGGATTTGCCGTAGCGGGGCGTAATTCGGTACCCAAATCTTTCCTGAACCCTTCCTTACAGCTAAGTCTTTCTCCCACTGTAGCAACTTCTTGGTCTGTGCTGTAGCGATTTCTGCGTCCACGGAGTACCCATGTTGGAATAGACCCTTGAGCAGAGGGTTCATCCCGTCGAGATGGATGCCTGCTACATGTCCGGGGTGGCTCAACGCGTCTGCCTTGTTGTGTGGCCCGGGCTTGTAGACGATGTCATAGTGGAAGTGAGTTTCCAGGAAGTCCACCCACCGCACCTGTCGTCGTGAGAGCGTCGGCTGCAACTTCAGGTATTTGAGACTGAAGTGGTCAGTATAGACTGTAGTCTTGGCTCCCTCTAGGTAACACCTCCACGCCTTGAAGGCTATGACTATCTCTAAGGCTTCCTTGTCGTAGATGGGTATAGTTCAGTTCTGCTCCGTGTAGCTTCTTGCTGAGGTAGGCGATGGGCTGCAAACCGCGTCTGTGATCCTGCATCAGTACTGCTCCGACTGCTTGGTCACTAGCGTCTGCTTCCACCACGTAGTCCTTGTCTGGATCTGGTAGGATGAGTACTGGCGCTGTAGTGAGTGTTGTCTGTAGCTGCTCCATGGCTTGCTGATGAGGCGTATCCCATTTGTAGGGCGTATCCTTTTTCAGTAGGTCGGTCAGTGGCGCTGCTATCTTAACGTACTGCGGCACGAACCTGTTGTAGTAGTTGGCGAAGCCTAGGAACTGTCGCAACTCCTTCACGTTCTCCAGTACTTTCCATTTCTTGACGGCTTCGATCTTCCGCGGGTCCACGTGTACGCCCTCGGCACTCACCATGTGCCCGAGAAACTGCACCTTCTTCAGGGCGAAGTCGCTTTTCGACAACTTCACGTAGAACTTGTTTTTCCGCAGGATCTCGAACACCTTCCACAGATGCTCCACGTGCTCCTTCATGTTCTTGGAGTAGATGAGAATGTTGTCCAGGTACACAACTATGCACTCGTCGAGCAGGGGTCGTAAGATGTGATTCATCTCCGCCTGAAACGTTGCTGGTGCGTTGCAGAGTCCGAACGGCATCACCAAGTATTCGTAGGAGCCGTATCTGGTACGGAACGCCGTCTTGTGGACCGAGTTGTCTACCATCTTGATCTGCCAGTAACCCGATCGTAGGTCCAGCTTCGAGAATACTGTTGCTCCACGCAGTTGATCCAGTAGGTCGTCTATGCGCGGTATGGGATATTTGTTTTTGACTGTCTGTTTGTTCAGTGCGCGGTAGTCGATGCATATCCTTAGACTGCCGTCTGGTTTTGGAGTGAAGAGGACTGGTGCACCGTAGGGAGAGGTGGATGGGCGGATCAGTTGTCTGTCCAGTAGATATTCTATCTGTTTCTTCATGTCTGTCAGTTCGGTCAGACTTAGTCGGTATGGTGCACGTGAGACGGGTTTCGCACCTGGTTCCTCCACGATCTCGTGCTCGTGGGTGTGTGCTGGAGGTACGCCTGCGGGTAGGTCGTCGGGCATTATATCCTTGTACTGCTCCAAGACCTCCTTCACTGCTGCAGGTAGCTCCGAACTCGGCTTCTCCTCCTCTGCTGCTGCCATAACCAGTGCGAAGTATCCCGTGTTACTCTCGTTCACAGTCCGTTCGAACCGTGCCAGTGTCATTTCAGGAACGCTCCCTGTATCTGTCCAGCTTCGTAGCTCCACTCGTTTCCTGTTGTTGTAGATGCGCGCCTTCCTGTTGACCCAATCGATCTCGGGGTTGAACCGCTTCAGAAATCTTGCCCCAAGATGAAATCTAAACCCTTGATGTTCGTGATCGGCAACGTCGGCTTCCACCTCAGCGCCCCTATGTGCAGCTGCAGTGATGCTTCGCCGTGGATGGGAAGTTTCGTACCGTCCACCATTGTTGCCGAGAACTTGGTCTCTTCCGAAAATTCTCCAATTTTCTCCAACGTCCCACGGTCGCACACCGAGTGAGACGCACCACTGTCCACCAGTGCCTTGAGGCGTCGCCCGTTGCATATCACCTCGAGTAATAGTGGTTGTTGCCGCTCCGAGTACCCATAGATGGTCTCGCTTATAGGATCGTAGGGTACGTCGAATAGATCATCCCTCGGTCCTGCGCTCGAAGCTGCTGATTCCATTTCAGTTTCCAACTGAGCAGGGTTAGAAGGATTTATCCGAGGCCAATTCAGCTTCGTCTTGGCCTGGAACCTTCTCTTAAGCTTTTGCAACTGTGTAGGCTTCTCCTGTGGGCAATGGGGAGCCTTAACACTATGCTGCGGGGAGAGAATATGAACTCCTTGGGACGCACGACCCTTTTTAACGCTCCGGAGTGCTTTGCCCAACTTCGCAGGTACCTGAATAATGCCTGAAGGCTTTTTCTTGGCCTTGAAAGCTCCCCTGAATTTTTTAAAGGCTTGAAAACCTCGAGAGGGAATATTCTTACTCTCGGGGGTGTTCGGCTGGAGTTTCCCGGTCGGTGCAGAGTCTTGTTTCGCGGAGCCTCCATTTGTCTCGGCGATTTCCCCTGTTGCCGGCCGGTCGTGGCATTTTAAATTCGCGCCATCATGTCCTCCTTTTTTCGCCATTGTGGATGTCACACTGTTGTTGCTCTGCAGCTCCGCTCGTGCCTTCTTCATTTTCCAACACGCCAAGAGTCGATGTCCTGCTGCGCCGCAACATTCGCACTTCTCATATTTTGTCGGCTGCTGCTTCGCGTCGATCTTGTCGATATCCATTGGGTCGGCGGTCGTGGGTGGTGCCGATCGCTTCGTGCGAAATGATCGGTTTGGCACGTGGCGTCGTGTATCGGGTTCATATCGCATCAGCGCATCAAATCTCTCTGCTGCACACACCATGTCGTGGTAGTTGTTGTAGTTCGCGGCAATCACTAGTTGGCGGACTTCCATCTTTAGCCCCTCAGTATACGCTTGAATTTTTTCCCCTTCGGTCAGGTCGGTAATTCGGTTGAAGAGGCTCTCCATCTGCTGCGTGTACTGTGTTACACTGCCAAACTGTTTATGCCGATGAATCTGTTGCCACGCCATGTAGCAGGAGTTGATTGGTTCGAAGCGATGAATTAAAGCTTCCCGAAACTGCATCCATGACCCCTCGCCTCGGATCTTATTGCTGTTGTAAATCCACTCGAGCGCCGGGCCTCGTAACAGTGTCGCTGCGAGCCGAATCCGCATTGCATCGTGTGTCGGGGTCGTACAGCCAACGGCCTCGAAGTAAAATTCGAGGGTCGCAATGAATCGACGGACGACGGTGTCTCTAGCATTCGGATTGAATGTCTCCGGTAGCCTCGGACTGTTGAACAAGAATGAATGAACTAACAGTGAAATGAGTACAAGTGTGAAAACCTAGAAATGTGTACCCCCTATAGGCTAACCCACTGTAGCCTAAACAACTACAACAACATATATGATGTTTGACACACCCCCATAGGCTAAGTGGGGGAGAACTAGGGGTCACAAGACCAGTCAAGTAAAGCAAAGCAAGCTCAGGGTGGATCACAACGTCACCACACAATCCGAGCCCAAGTTCAAGGCCACAAGGCCAGTTCACATGCAGGAGTACATATATATAAGACTAAACAAGCAAGAGCAGCAATATATATATGAAACAATACAAAGAGGATCAAGAGGAGAGCAAGTGAGGCAAGACAGACACAAGACCCAGCTGGGTATAGCAACGCTGATGATCACAAGGCGCAAGTGCCTTGGTGAAGACATCAGCAGTGTTGGCCTCAGAGGCCACGTACGCAAGTCGCAACTGACCACGCTGCTGTAGCTCACGAGCAAGGAAGTAGCGGAGAGCAATGTGCTTTGTTCTCTGCTCCAGTCTCTGCTCTCAACACAAGGCCAGCATGGCCTTGTTGTCGACGTACAGAACTGGAGGAGAACGAGGCTGCTCTCCAAGGTCGGTCAGCAGGTAGGTGAGCCAGCGAAGCTCCTGAGCAGCCATGGCCCCTGCGTAGATCTCAGCCTCATAACTGGAGCCGAGAACAGAAGACGAGCGAATAGCCCGCCACGAAACAGAGCCGGAACCAAGGCTGAAGGTGTAACCCTGTGACGACCGCTGCGTAGCCTGGTCGTCAGCCCAAGAAGCGTCTGCGTGTCCAGTGAGGACCACTGGACTCCGCCCTCCAAGCACTAGCCCCATGCCCGACGTACTGCACAAGTAGCACAACACCCTCTTCGCTGCAGCCATGTGCTCTGGTCGGTGTCTCCCAGGAGCAACATAGCGTGCAAGAATGCTAAGAGGGTATGCAAGGTCAGGTCGTGTGCAGGTCATCAGGTACATGAGACAGCCAACAAGCTCTGGGTACGGGCC